CCTCTATTTTTCCTGTCTCATTTCTACTAAAAAGTTGAAACCCTAAATCCTCATCTCTTACAACACTGTGAAAGGAAAATAAATCTTGGGACCCCAAAATCACTGAGCCAACAGAAAAACTCAAGCTGGGAACTGTGTCAGGCAAACCTGCTTCCCATTTTATTCCTAAATAAGATAGCTACAAAGATAGAAAAGCTACATACCTTCCTCACAGTCTTCCCACAAAGAAAGTTTTTTGTGGACAAAGGATGCACGGAACTCAAAGTCATCCCTCTGCTCACCTGAGACAAATGCACATCTGACTGCTTCCTCTGCCCTATTTCACTAAGCCAGACGAAGGTATCAGTGATTATTCCTCTACCCTCCTCTCACATGTAAATTGTGTATTCAGTGAAAGGCTCATCCAGAGACTCCAAAGAATGCAATCGATTCTCTCTTATGTACCTGTGGGATATGATGAAGTTTCTCTTCAAATAACCTGATCAATCTTTTATTCTTTAATTCATAGTACCCCTTCCCCCCTACCTTTTCTCCTTTGTCACCTTTTACCTTTGTTAGATGCCCAGGCATGCCACAGTACCAGGCATTATCCGTACCAGCTCACATTCCTTTCCTTATTTGGAAAGACAACTAACTTTCTAGTTCATTACAGACACCCCTTCCCCTTTCCTCTCCGCTTTCTTTTACATGCCCACCTTATCTAAAAAAAATCAAACGTTTAGCCAACCAGGATTAGTTTAGATTGTACGAACCGACCCCAACCAATGGGGAAAAGACACAGGGGCAGGACTTGCATCAAGGATAAAGGCTCTTGAGCCCCTTTGTTCAGGTGTGCTTTCATGGCGACTGGCCGAGGAGGCGCCCCTCTGTGCAGACGTAAAACTGCTTTGCTAAGAATCCTTTGTACGAGTGTTCAATTTCCTTAGGATTTTGAGCGTTACTCCTAACATACCTATGACCCGGAAGCTCCCTCCTCTACTTCGAGTTGTTCTGCCTTTCTGGACCAAACCAATGTATATCATTCACAGATTGTCTCATGTCTCCCTAAAATGTATATATCCAAGCTGTGCACCAACCACCTTGAGCACATGTTGTCAGGATCTCCTGAGCCTGTGTCTTGGGCATATCCTTAACTTTGGCTAAGTAAACTGTCTACGTGGATTGAGCTGTTTCAGATGCTTTTGGTTTCACAACACCCTTTGTTGCTTTTGAGTGGCGGGCTAACAAGAGCAGAAAGGCTAGAGCCACACACACATCCCAGGAACCGACCGAAGGAACCCAGTGTCCCATGGCAAGCGATGAACAGGAGGAAGCCCTTTTTCTCCTTTGTCTTTGTTTCCCAGAACACAGTCCAGAAATCCTAAGGTCCCAGGAAGCAAGTATCGGTTGCATAATTTCCTCATGGAAAAGATTATAGCACTTTTTGAGAATGGAGACCAGAGAAGTTTGGCCTTTAGAAATGAGGGCTTCCAGGTAATCTAACCTCTTGAAGTGAATGTTAATATTTACATTATCTTGTTAACATCTTTATGCTTTCTCTTTCTCTGAGATATGAGCCCAAAGGTTCAAATATTTTAAATGTGTGTTCCTTGGAGGGAATCTGGTCTATCACAGCATTTTATAGAGGAAAGAGTATAGCCTCTGTTATCCACCCATCTCAGTTTGAATCCCATCATGGTCATTTATCTATTTATTTAGAGACAAGGTCTCACTCTGTCATGCAGGCTGGAGTGCAGTAGTATGATCTTGGCTCACTGCAACCTCCGCCTCCTGGGTTCAAGCGATTCTCATGCCTCAACCTCTTGAGTAGCTGGGATTACAGGCGTGTGCCAGCAGGCTCAGCTAATTTTTGTATTTTTAGTAAAGACAGGGTTTCACCATGTCAGTCAGGCTGGTCTCAAACTCCTGACCTCAAGTGATCCACCCACCTTTGCCTCCCAAAGTGCTGGGATTACAGGCATGAGCCACTGCACCTATCCATGGTCGTTTTTGCTGGATAATCTTGGGAATATAAGATACTCTGGGCTTGAAGTCTTTCATCTGTAAAATGGGAAAACCGTAGCCTTACTTGCTCAGTTCCTGAGTGACAAACTGGGATCTTTTATTGAAAGTACCTACTGCGTGGCACATAGTGCAAGCTATTATAGTTATTTTTGCTGTTGTTTTCATGGCTTATTCAAAACTGTTGCAGTTAGAAGCAGATCTGCTCTGATTTTCTTCACACTGTCTTTTAAAGATGCCCCAACATTGATAATATGAACACATGATGATACATTTTACTAGCAGCTTGTACTTTTCACAATGACATGGTACCCATTGTGACAGGTAAATCATGTGATGGTCATGAGTTCAGATGCCAGGCCAGACTATCTGTACTCAAATCCTGGTGTCACCACATTCTAATGACCTTGAAAAGATATTTAGCCTTTCTGTGACTCAATAGCCTCATCCTCTAAGTAGCGATAATTGGGGTGTCCACTTTATGGGGTTCTTACTTGACTAAAGTCAGTTATACTTGAATAGTTCTTGATGCCTGGCAAGTAGTAGGTACTTAATAAACGTTAATGATTATTATTAGTTCATTGAAATGTGGTTGCCTCATGCAAATGACACTCTCATCTGAAACGCAGAGAGACTGAATCACGGAGCAGTTTATAGGAATGGCCACAGTCACACAGTGCATTTGCAGCCAGCAGTCCCATCACCCAGAACAAGGCCCAGGTGCTGGAGCTCCAGGCAGGATTTATTTCAAAGGCAGCTTTCCTGCACACCCTCCCTTCCCCCGCAACTCCCCACCACTGTTGCAGGAAATTATGCTTCGAGCCATGTATCTTCTTTGACACGCTCTGCTCTTGAAGAAACACTCCCAATTACTGTGGCTGTGTTCTCCGTGATTGCAATGTGTCATGACATTTCCAAGATGTAAGTTTCTTTGAAAAAGGCATTAGCACCAGGCGAGTGAAGCGGCTCATTTTTCAAACTTGGAAACTGTCGTTGGCCCCGCTCAGCGCTGGTGAAGCCTGAACACACTGTTTAGTGAGCTCCGTCAGGCGACCAGGGTTCACCCCGTGGGCATGTTCAGCTGCGTTCCTTTGGGGAGGCTTGCTGAGAATGTGCAAACGTGTGTGCACATCCACCCACACCCACCCTCACACATCCACCCCTGCCTTACACTACACACACTCAGTCTATGTCAGGTTCTCCCGAATTCCAGATTCCCTCCTGGATCCTAATCCCCTCCTCCAGCCTGGAGCCACTTGATACTCCACTTACAGACTCCTCTACCCCTGTCCACCACCATGAGAAAGCATTACACTCCTTCACGGTTCTCCATCTGTATCAGCCAGGGTTATTCATTACAAGCAAAATAAACTATCGTTTGCTGATTTAAGCAGTAATGGAATTTACCAGAAGGCTTTCAGTTGGCCCATAGAATTACCAACCTCAGGAAACAGGCAGGAACAAAGGAAGTTAAGACAGCCAGAACCCTGGGCAAATTCATGCCATAGCACCAGTCCAGTGAGAGCACCACTGAGCACTTGCTGCCCCATTGATTGGCATGACTCTCCCGTTAGAAAGGATGCTGGTGCTGTGCCCCTTTTCTGGTTCAAGTCCTGTTGCATGCATCTGATTGGTTAACCTCAGTCACATGGCACTAGTATAGCTGCAAGGGAGGCTGAGGAAGTGAGGAATGGCCATATTGGTTTCCTACCATAGTTATAACAAAGTACCACCAACTGGGTTGTTTAGAACAATAGAAATGCATTGTCTCACAGTTTTGGCTATACTCCCTCTGAAGGCACTAGGGAAGGGTTGGCTCCACACCTTTCTCCTAGTTTCTGGTAGCCTTGGACATTCTTTGGCTAGTAAATGACTGTATTCTCCCCATGTCTGTTCACATAAATCTTTCCTCTATGTCTGTCTGGCTTTGTCTAAATTTCCCCTTTTGATAAAGACACCATCATTCTGGATTAGGGACCACCCTAGTGACCTCATCTCGACTATATCTGACAAGACCCTACTTCCAAATAAAGTCAGATTTTGAGGTTATTGGTGCTAGGATTTCAATGTATCTTTCTTGGGGGACATAATTCAACCCATGCCATTGGCCTTTCAGTTTATTTGATACGAGGCAGGCTATAGTGGCTACCAAGACTTATGCATGGTAGTTAATTTCTTTTACACATACAAAGAGGTTCAGATGCAGAAGCCAAACCCTGCTGACAGAACATCTGAAAAATATCCATTATACCCTCACCCTAATAATTCAGTACTCTAGGATTAGATATTCTCTGGTGTGTTATAATGATCCACATACCATTTCCTGAATATTTTGTAGCAGATGAATTGCTAAGAAAAAAACTTTACCAGCTGGGCATGGTGGCTCATGCCCTAATCTCAGCACTTTGGGAGGCGAAGGCAGTTAGAACCAGGGTCTAACTTCCCTTACAGTCATACTTCTTTGCAGAATATATGCGGTGGTTGAAAGTGGAAACTGGGTACAAGGCCATGTCTTCTTAGGTCACCATTATTTGCATGGGCCCAGCCTTTTTTTTTTTCCTGAGACAGAGTCTCACTCTGTCAGGTTGGAGTGCAATGGTGCAATCTCGGCTCACTGCAACCTCTGCTTCCCAGGTTCAAGTGAATCTCATACTCAGCCACCTGAGTAGCTGGAACTACAGGCATGCACTACCACGCCTAGCTAATTTTTGTATTTTTTGTAGATACAGGGTTTTGCCCTGTTGCCCAGGCTGGTCTCAAATCTTGACCTCAAGTGATCTGTCCGTCTCCCTTCCCAAAGTGCTGAGATTACAAGTGTGAGCCACTGTACTCAGCTAGGCCCTGCCTTTTTCCTAGAATCACTTCCCCTTATCTTGGCTAATTATTCCCATCCTCCTGGTCCCAGTAGTCTATGCTCACTTCCCCTTCCTGGGATGAATGACTTCTTTCCCAGAACCTGGTGCTCTATATATATCATGGAACGCCAGGGTTGCACTTACCTCTTTTCTAGTCTGTCTTCCCCACTGCGATCTTCTGGGGCCATCATCACTGTATTTGATTTCTCAATGTCTAGCACAAGGCTAGGTGCATAACTGATGCTCACTCACTGAAAAATGAAGGAAATGATAAAAAACAATGAGACGGTTGCCCCAACCTCCTGGACCTTGGGAATAGGTTGACAATAACTTGTCCAAAGAGGAGACAAGGCCCATCTGTAGCATAAGAACTCCCTGAGGGTCTCAGTTCCAGGCTGGGATTAAAATAGGGTGGTATTGTCCAATATGCCAGAGACCAGCCACGTATGGCTATTTACTTATTTAAAGAGAAGGTCTTGTTCTGTTGTCCAGGTTGGAGTGCAGTGGCATGATCACAGCTCACTGCAGCCTTGAACTCCTGGGCTCAAGTGATACCCTCTTACCTCAGTCTTCTGAGTAGCTGGGATTACATGTACATGCCACCATGCCCAGCTAAAGCTTTTTGTTTTGTAGAAATGGGGACTTGCTATGTTGCCTAGGCTATTCTTGAATTCCCGGCCTTCAGTTATCCTCCTGCCTTGGCCTCCCAAATTGCTGGGATTATAGGCATGAGCCACTGCCCCTGGCCCACATACAGCTATTTAAAGTTAAATTTATATTACTTAATATTAAATAAAATTAAAAATTCAGTTTCTCTGTTGCACTAGCCAGATGCCAATTACTCCATGCGTGAGTAGCTACCATGTTGGATGGCACAGGTATAAAATATTTGTATTGTCACAGAAAGTTCTATTGCACAGTGCTGTTATAGGGTTCCTGCATCTCTGTAAAAGGACTATATTATAATCTTAGTAACTGGTCCATTCCCTCCACTCCACATTTATTTTTAACTCATATAAAATCGTGCACACACTCACACACACAACTACCCAAACCACTAATCACTTCGATTTTATAAAAAGAACATTTATTGATTTTAACTAAAAAGACACTTGTTGCAAGAGGAATTTTATATGTCATAGTAAAAATGTCCTGTTTGAGGGAAACTTTAAGACAATTGGATTTTAACTGGGCCATTTATTTTGTGCCATTGCCACAAGGATGCCACACGTTTAGCATCTGTTCCCTGGTGCATAACTTTAAAAGGGAGCTGGTTGGATCCTCTGGCCATGAGGTGACAGGTAGCTTGAGTCTCTTGGCTCCAGCAACTATGGCAATTTTTTTTTTAGAGTGGATCAGCTTTATAGTTTCTGCAGAACTGGAAGACTGACACTCAACATGACCTCTTGACATGGTATTCATTGGTTGGGCGAAGCATGTGATGTGACAGCTTCTCCAATTGTTTTCAAACCAAGAGTAGATGCTGAAGTTAACGACTAATCAGGCTTTGCACAGAAAGGGAGGCCTGAGGTTTTTGCCATCGGCTGGTATTATAATAACATGTGAGTGTGTGTGTGTGTGTGTGTGTGTACGTGCACACGAGAGAGAGAAAGAGACAGACTGCATGCAAAGGCACCTGCAATTTCTTTTTTTTTTTCTTTTGAGACATAAAGTTTCACTCTTGTCACCCAGGCTGGAGTGCAATGGTACAATCTCGGCTCACTGCAACCTCTGCCTCCAGGGTTCAAGCAATTCTCCTGCCTCAGCCTCCTGAGGAGCTGGGATTACAGGCACCCGCCACCACGCCTGGCTAATTTTTGTAATTTTAGTAGAGATGGGGTTTCACTATGTGTCCAGGCTGGTCTCAAACTCCTGACCTCAGGTGATCCACCCCCCTCGGCCCCCAAAATGCTGAGATTACTAGAGTGAGCCACTGCGACCAGCAGCCACCTCTTATTGCATTAGTGCTTACCTCCTGGAGCCCAAAGGGAGTTACCATCGGTGTTTACACCCCAGCAATGTACTCGCTTAAATGTGATCTGCAGGCCATGCCTTTGGTACCCCAACCTTGGGACGAAGACCTCATCTGACTCCTCTATGATTAGCTTAGCAGATAAACCCAACAGCTGCAGAGGCACCCCCACTGTGTCCACCCCTTGAAAATCTGTCCTCTCTGTGAGCTAAGAACACGTTGCCTTATCCTTTCAGGCACTTAGAGAGAGTGTAGGTCAATGCAAAACAACGACTCACAAATTCCAAGCTGTGGCTACAGATTTGATGGAGGAGAAGGAGAAAAAAGAGGGGCTGTGTGAACAGAGAGGAACTTCAAATGTAGACTGATAAAAGAACGGGATGAGGAAGGAAAACTGAGGGGGCACATTTGGGGTTCACAGGGGCCTCCGTCTCAGGTGCGCACACACACCGTATGTTTAACATTAATAATTGCTAAATGATATGAAGTGATCTATCAATCAAATTAATAAAGCTTACAATATTTAGGGCATTTAGTTTGCTAAAATCACTGGCATCTGTGCCTATTAATAATGACAGATGATTAGGATATCCAAAGTTTGGTAGAATCTGCTAGCTAACAAGGTAGAATTAAAATTTACATCTTGTTCTGGCATAATGAAGATAATTAAAAAGAGTGATAAAACCCTTTGATTAACCCTCATCTCCTCTTGCATAGCATTTTATTATGCAAATGAAACCTCCAACACTGTAAACTTAATACCAGTTAAGAATATGAAGATGTTCTCATTTCCAAAGTACAAAGATATATGCATACATATAAAATATTTGATTGAAATGGGGTCTGTTTTGCAATAAAGTGGAACTCAGGAGTGTGCAGCTCATGGAACAAAATTATGTCTCTCTTTGCTGCAGGCTTGAGTTCTTGTCCACTATGCCATCCATGCTGTTCCCCGTTAGTTTCTGCTTTGTTATTTAATTACCTGCCCTGACATGTGATGGCACTGAGTGCCCAGAACACAAACACAAGAATGTCTGTGTCATCTGATGAAGGGCTCACTCGTAGTCCTGACTTTGCTTTCTTGAGTTAAAGAGTACATCACAGTAACTTTAAAAAGCAGAAAGTCCCTTGTCTGCCCATCTCTGGGGTTTGAAAAGATGTAACCACCCAGTGGGTTCACCTTGTCTGCTGCGTAGACACAGCCCATTTATCAAGATAGGGGAATTGCCATGGAGAAAGAGTAGTTCATACAGAGCTGGCTGTGTGGGAGACCAGGGTTTTATTTTCACTCAGATCAGTTTCCCCAAGCATTTGGGAATCAGAGTTTTTAAGGATAATTTGATGAGTGGGGGGCAGCCAGTGAGTTGGGAGTGCCAACTGATCACGTCAGAGAGGAAATCATAGGAAGTCAAAGCTATCTTCTTGCATGAGTCAGTTCCTTGGTGGGGGCCACAAGATCTGATGAACCAGTTTATGATTGGTGCCAGCGGATCCATCAAGTGCAGGGTCTGCAAAATATCTCAAGCACCAGTCTTAGGCTATACAGTAGTGATTTTTCTTTTGAGAAAACAAAACAAAAATAATTTGTTTTGAGAAAGGGCTGTTATCATCTTTGTTTTCAACTATAGACTAAGTTCCTCCCAAAGCTAGTTCAGCCTTCGCCCAGGAATGAACAAGGACAGCTTGGAGGTTAGAAACAAGATGAAGTTGGTTAGGTCAGGTCTCTGTCACTGTCTCAGTCATAATTTTGTAATGGTGGTTTCGAAGAGAGGGATTCGAAAATCAGAGGGATGAGTTTTTGTTGTTGTTGTTGTTGTTTTAAAGGATTGACTCTCTCAATAAGTAATTTCTCTTCTCCCTGAGAAATATTTCTTCTTCAGTTGTGCCAAAGAGAAGTCCAGGATGGCTGAAAGTGGTGCTGAGCTGATTTAATAGATTTTCCCTTGGTCAAGTGAGTTAATTGGCAGGAAAATAACAAAAGTCACTGTGAAAGAAGGAAATCAAATTCCTCTGCCTCTCTTTGCATTCTTCAGCCATTGCTCTCCATCCTCTCTCTTCACAGGGAATGAGCCTTGAGTTATGCCGTGAGAAGCAGCCAGTGTTAGCAAGAGAAATCTGAATTTCCTTCCAAGAACCATGCTTTGAAGATTGTTAAGATTCAGAGTCAACCAGACAGATGATGTGGACTGCAGGGGTGGACACATGAAATGAGATTTACAGCCTAGAGGACTTGGGACATGACGAAGCTGAGAAGCTGGGGGGAGACTAGAAATGCAAGAAGGAATAAAGGTAGAGGGAAAGAAGTTTTGGAAGAACCCACAGAGGAGAATGCAATCTGAGGATGTAGTAGAGAGAGATGGGGCCATAAGCCATGGAATGTTGACAGCTCCCAGAAACTGGAACAGACGAAAGATACATTCTCCCTTAGAACTTTTTGGTAGCCCTGCTGGCACAGCAATATTGACTTCTGACCTCCAACACTTGAGAGAATAAATTTCTGTTGTTTTAAGCTATGGGGTGTGTGGTCAATTTATTACAGCAGCCAGGGGAAACTAACACAGCTTTTAGTATCGGGAAGTGGGAAGTTATATGAAAAGTGTAACCACCCAAGGGGTTCACCTTGCCTGCTGCCTAGACACAGCTAATTTATCAAAACAGGGGAATTGCCATAGGGAAAGAGTTTAATTCATGCAGAGCTGGCTGTTTGGTAGATTTGGGTTTTACTGTGACTCAAATCAGTCTCCCTGACCATTCCAGGATAGGAGTCTTGAAGGACAATTTTGTGGATGAGGGACAGGGAGTGAGTTGGGAGTACTGATTGGTTGGGTAGGAGATGAAATCCTAGGGAGTGGAAGCTGTCTTCTGCTGAGTCAGTTCCTGGGTTGAAGGCCATAAGACCAGATAAGCCAGTTTATCCATCTAGGTGCTACCAGCTGATCCATCAAGTGCAGGGTCTACAAAATATCTCAAGCACTGATCTTAGGTTTTGCAACAGTGTTGCTCTCCCCAGGAGCAATCTGGGGAGGGTCAGAATTTTGTAGCCTCCAGCTACATGACTCCTAAACCAGAATTTCTAATCTTGTGGCTAATTTGTTAGTCCTACAAAGGAAGTCTAGTCCCCAGGCAGGAAGGGGGCTTTGTTTTGGAAAAGGACTATTGTCTTCTTTGTTTCAAAGTTAAACTATGAACTAAGTGCCTCCCAAAGTTAGTTCAGCCTACACCCAGGAACGAACAAGGACAGGTTAGACTCTAACCTAGAAGCAAGATGGAGTTGGTTAG